ACTGTAATTCATTTCTCTCCTTGTTTATTTTCCCATTCCCCTCACAACCTCTTATATGTAATTTTGTATAACAATGAGGGTCTCCTTCCATTTCCATGCAATTTCCCTTTTCTCTCCCTTTCCCTCCCACCTCATGTCTCTGTTTAATGTTAATCTTGAGAAGTAGGGAAGATGAAGAGTCATTGAACATTTTAAGTTCAAGTTTATAAATACAGTACCACCTTTATTAACAAATAGGAGCCCCAAATTTCTATGTGTAGTTTATATAGTTTTTAAWCTATACTTTGCTATATTTGAGGGAAATTTGTCTGATGGATTTCTGAAAAAAAATTTTTTAATATTTTATATCAAGAAAAGTCCTTCACTTTCTCTATTTTGTAAATTTTGATTTTTTATGCAAAATTGGCTTTTCTTAAAAAAATATATATATACATATACACACACACACATACATACATGTGATATGTGATATGATGACCTTTCTTTAGCATAGAGTATAATTATTAGGAAATCAATACAAACTTTTTCAATTTAAAAGAATTTCTRGCAGCAAGGCTTTTATGCCCTTTATCTCATACTACTTAAAGCCAAATGTGATTATTACATGCACTGAGCGCCTATGAATTCATCGATTTTTTATTTGATAACTTATTTAATTAAATATTTACTATATACAGAGACTAAAGGGAAGTGAAGTAGTCATAACTATAATGTCACCAAAGACACTGAATTAATAAATACTGAACCATTGTTCTTGGGACAAAAGCAGGTTTAGGTTTCTTCTGATCTCTGATCAAAACATTTTTGTCAAACAATATATACATTTTTTTATGTATGTTTCTGTTCAAAGACACCTGATTTAATATATATTTCATTTATTAACATTGAGCTCATGACCAACAGCACTATAACTCACACCCCAAAGAATCTTATGTAACACATGTATTTTCTCCATCATTGGAGAAAATGGTGTGTTAGCCAATTGAGGTTACCATAACAAAAGCTCTACACTTTAAGACCATTTTAAACAGCAAAATAACCAAGAAAAAGGAGAAGAATTTGCCTTCTTGTTCTAGTTCTCTACAATGTGAGAACTAGAACAAGAAGGCAACTCTTCACCTTTTCTACCTCCACTGAGAATGTATACATCTGGGCAACTCAAATTTTCTGCAACCTGTGCTTGTCTGTGAATGACAACAACTTCTAAGAAATATTGATTTTAGGGTTACAAGTAGATTTTAGCAAGTAGGGAAATTCACAAATATGGAATCCATGAATGTTGAGGATCAATGTATTTTAATAACTGGAATTTATCTAGAGGTATATATTTCTACATTTTAAAACTTACATGTTTGAACTGGGCATGTGGCTCAGTGGTAGAATGCTTGCCTAAGCATGCATGAGGCCTTAGATYCCAGCACTGCAAAAAAATAAAATTATATAAATAACTAAAAACMTACACATCTAATTAGTGTTCTTCATTAGGGGTGGACCTCTGAGAGGGTAGCTCTCAGAGCCCTTTTCACAGCCCTCTCACAGCCCTTTTTCACTCTTTTGAGACAGCATCACACTCAGTTTCCCAGGCTGGTCTCAAACTTGCAATCCTACTGTCTTAGCCTCCCAAGTCTCTGGGATTACAGATGTGCATCACCATGTTCAGCTATTATACTTTTAAAAGGATGGAATGTCAAGTTGTATTAAAAGAAATGCCAGAATTTATGGCATGATTTGGACCCAGAAACAGCGCCTCTCACCACCTCCTCACTGCTCCAAATAAATATTTGGGACTACAGTCCGAATTGACTAAACACATTAAAAAAATAAATCTCCAGAAATCATAGATCTAGAATATATTATTTTTTGTGAGAGTATTGTTGCTAGTGTAACAGGTATAAATCCTACTGCACCAATGCTTAAGTGCAAGAAATATTGTTTTGTTTCTAAAAAAATAACATAAAACCAACTTGAACTGCAGTCTAATTTGGCTGGTATGTTAGGCAGTTGAGGTTACCATAACAAAAATACTGTACACTTGGTGGCTTAAACAGTATAAATTTATTTCCTCTGGAGGCTAGAAGTTGGAGTTCCTCATGGTGCTAGATAATGGAGGGGTTCTAGTGAAGGCTTTCTTCCTGGCCTGCAGACAGCCCAATTCTTTGGTGCTCACATGGCTTTTTTTTTCTTTTTTAAAAAATATTTGTTTTAGTTATACAAGGGCAAAATATCTTTATTTTGTTTGTTTATTTTTATGTGGTGCTGAGGATCGAACCCAGGGTCTGACACATGCGAGGCGAGCACTCTACCTCTGAGCTACAACCCCAGTCCCTCATATGGCTTTTTCTTAGTGCATGGGCATGGAGAAGGAGAGGGAAAGAGAGCATGGGCACAAGGGAATACTCACAGAAGTACTTTTATTTTTCTGACTAATCCTATTGGATCAGAGCCCCACCTTTTTTGGCCTCATTTAACCTTAACTACTTACATACATAAAGGCTCCATCTCCAAAGAGTCATGTTGGGCATTAGGGATTTAACATATGAAATTTGGGGGGTACGTAAACATTCCATCTATAACAGCTAGTGTTTCTAATCATTCAGCTTTGCCAAGATTCCAATCCCTAAGAACAACAAGAAAACAGACCCACTCCTAGGCCAAAAGGATCATATAGGCAGGGCCCACAGACTGTCCAGAGACCAAGGGCACCTCCCTGATGCTTTGGTACTAGTAAGATCCTGGATCTCAGAATAACTGAGATTGGATTGCCTGTCTGGGGCTACATGTATACTTCAGAGAACTGACACATGTACAGGTCCTGCTTGTTTGAGGCCTACCAACCTGTAAATTTTCTAATCTGGAGAAACTTCCTGCTTTCTTGTTTCTTGCCTCAAAAATTATTCCATTTTCTCTTATCTTCTTGGTACATTTTAGAGTAATATCTTCAAAGAGTTTAGGCTTCTTTAAAAAATAGGAAAACTTCAGGAAGCTTCTATGTTCCTGCCAGAATTGCTAAGGTAAAATTTAAAAAGGGCTTGCTTCTCTTGGATGTAATAGAAGAGAGTAAAACACCCATTAAATGCTTCAGTCAATAATTGTGTTACACTAATGCTTCATTTCAAGAGAAAATTTTATAGTTATTATCTTTAGTTCAATAGTTTTAGTGGAAGTTAAGATTATAATATTTTCATACTGAAATGAGATTGGTATCATATCTAATAAAACTTAATACTGACTTCACATGCTAGTTAGCAGTAGAGCTAACACTCAAACCAATGTATCATGGCCCCGAATTCTATATATTTTTTATTGAATTGTCCAAAAGAAAGCTATATGGTTCTCAAAATTTTTTTTGTTAATTTCCAGTTCAAGAATGTCCTATTCCTTTCTGATATTAATTAAGGTACAGTTTATTGTACTTTTTCTTTCTTTTTAAAAAATATTTTATTAGTTGTTGATGGACCTTTATTTATATGTGATGCTGAGAATTGAACCTAGGGCCTCACACATGCTAGGCAAGCTCTCTATCACTGAGCCACAACCCCAGCACCGTATTGTACTTTTTCTTTTCTTTTCTGAACTGGGACTTGAACCTCTGAGTTATATCCCRGATTTTTTTTTCCTATGCTGGCAATTGAACTCAAGGGTGCTCTTACATCCACAGCCCCTTTTCACTTTTTTGAGACAGCATCACACTCAGTTTCCTAGGCTGGTCTCAAACTTGCAATCCTACTGTCTTAGCCTCCCAAGTCTCTGGGATTACAGGTGTGCATCACCATGCTCAGTTATTATACTTTTAAAAATATGGAATGTCAAGTTGTATCAAAAGAAAATTACTTAGAAAATAATATTTGTATTTGTAATTAGAAAAACAAAATTGAGGATCTTATCAAATTCAGTTGATTTTATTGACTTTTTCTAGTGAGATATGAACACTTGATTTATCTTTCCTATTTTGCTAAAACATTTTTTGGTCTAAAATAACCAGTGGGTATGCTTTTTGGTACATGTGTATCTTTTCCTTTTGGTGAGAGGGATCAATTTAATAATATACTTGTTTTAAGTAAATTGGAAAGTTGGGATATGATTTCATCTTATCTTAGCCATTGTACAGCTTGCTTACACACCAAATGTGAATTGCATACTATTGAAAACATAATTAAGTTCCAGATGTGTGTTTTGAAGCAAAATACACACAAAGTAATTCTAGGATTTACTCTTCTCTTGGGCACCTAACTTGATTCATCTAAATTCATATTTGAATCCAGTTACCTTACCATTATGTCTCCCAACTAACTTAGCAAATAACCTACTAATTTTATAGAATATGGAATACTTTGGGTAAATATCAATAATTATTTCTATCACCATAAAGTTAACTGAAGATAATATTTCTATGATATGCTCAAGTTACAAACTAGTGGGTAATTTGCATAATGCCATATGTATTATTATTGCACCTATTTTATATTATCAGTTTATTACTTATTCCAAGAAGCTCTAAGAAAAATTATTATTATTAATTTTGAAATATTTAGGTTTATTTGGAAAGTCAAGGAATTGAATTAAATCCACCAGAAAAAATGGCTCTTGATCCTTACACTGAACTCCGGAAACAGCCTCCTCGTAAGTACGTCACCCCATCGGACTTTGATCAACTTAAGCAGTTTCTCACCTTTGATAAACAGGTAAGTGACCTGGGAAAGAAGGTGTACTTGTTTCAAAATATGGCACATGTGTTTATTGGAAAGCTGTTTTACTAGCTTTATTGGTAATGATTTTAAAATATTATATCTATAATTTAACCATTTGGATATTGTGCTGTCTTTTTGGTTTCATGTAGGGTTAGAGTTATACCAATGGCTAAGTTTCTTATTAGAGATCAAAAGAATATTGTGGAGTTAAGTTTTGTGAATCTCAACATATGTTCACATCTTAAAAAATTCCTGAGCTACATCTACTCCCACTTTACATTTTCAGTTGACCATTTCTTTCTCCTAAAATGCATTAATCTCATAGAATCTTTTTGGAAAACCTGAAGTGGATTATTGGGAAATTTCAAAGCTGTTGCATATTTATTAGTTTCTAATATTAAAATAGTTAATTTCACAAAAACCTCAGTGTAAATGCTTCCTTGTTAAATGTTATGCTAATGTTGGAGTACAGAATATTGTGAACATTTTCCGACTCTTTGTTCCAACCTTCCTAATTCTTTTCCTTGTAAGTCCAAGTGTGTAAATTGATTGAATCTTCTTTCCCTAGTAAAGAGAAAGTGAAAAGAGAAAAATTATCCTCAATACTTGGTTTTTTTCCCACCTCTCCCAGAAGTTAAATTTCTTTTTGTTGAGAAGATTATACCTAGTGTTATGGTCATCTTTTAAGGATTTTCTTTGTATTAGTCATTATCTGTTATTACTTGSTATTTAAAGATTATGTTGATACTATTACTAAAAGATGTGTGCTAATAGAACCAGAAAAAAATAGACTGGTTAATGGTTAATAGATGAAAATTCTTTCCATCTTTTCATACTAATTATATATCAATCATTCACATGTATTTTTATTGATTTATGCAAGCCACTGTATAGAGTACCTCTTTGCTCTCTTAATTCAGCTTCTCTTTCATTGATGAACGTTTTGAGTTAAAGTAAGCTCTTCTTAGCACAAATAAGCCTTTGCTTCTCTCCAGCTATTAACATCTGATAGGTACCCCAAGATGTTTTAGGATCTTTGATGAATATTTCTTTTTTTTCCATTTACCATCTGAAATTATCACAGTCTTTCCAGATAATCATTTCATCATTGTCTCATGTATAATGCCAAAGTAAGTTAAACTCTCCAGTTTTAGAATTCTTAAGTTTTTACTTTGGATTCCACAAAGGTTCTTCGATTCTATGCAATCTGGGATGATACAGACAGTATGTTTGGTGAATGTCGGACCTATATCATTCATTACTATCTAATGGATGATACAGTGGAGATTCGAGAGGTCCATGAACGGAATGATGGGAGAGATCCTTTCCCACTCCTGATGAACCGTCAGCGTATGCCCAAGGTTTTGACAGAGAATGCAAGTATGTTCAAATTATCCTGTTATTGAGGACTTTTTTTTTAATCTTTAAGGAGTTTTTTATTCAGTGTGGTTGTTCCTTTATACTTGAAAAGTTCTAGATGTTTTCTTAGCAAATGGTTCTTAGGTTCTTAGCAAATGGCTTTCCCACAATACCCCACCTTTATCTTGATTCAGACATGACTCCCAGACAATCTGGTAGAGATGACTGATATGTAGATCAAGGAAACCAAGCAAAAATAGCAGTGGGAGATTAATTTAAGGAAAAGTGGAATAGGTTTCTGAACTGAAGTGATTTAAAAATGGATTTTTAATGTACTTTTTAAACAGGACTTGTGATTTAAGGATGTAGCTTAGCTTAGCATTTTCTTATATGCTTTCCTGATTTCGCTTCTCATCTCAACTAATTTGTAAATAGGAAGTTTCTATGTGATTTAACTTGAGATTAGGAAAGACATGTCTGTAACTCAGAGGGAGGGATCCAATTGCTCAGAACCTACTCTTTTTTCACTGATCTAAAATAACACCTTGCATGTTGGATGGTAAGAAGGCAACAAAATGGTAATGGGTACCTGCTGTTTAATATTTCCTAGGATAAGTAGGCTTGCTTTACTTATTGACTTAGCAGTTAAAGACTTTTCTCTTACAAAATGTCATCTTGGTCACATGTAATAGCATCGCCAATGTTTTAGAGTGAAACAATTTTGCAAATGTGTTCATTGATTTTTTTTCTTTTTACTATGTTTTTTGGAACTAGGAGATAAGGAATTCTAGGTATTAAGCAAGAGGTTTGACTAGATTAGTGGCTGTAAACAAATTGGGCAGTGCAAAGGCTAAATTCARCCCACCCAAATGTATTTCTTAGCCTGTACAGTGTTGTTGTTTAATGCAGTGTTTTTTTGTGAGCAAGGAGTTGGAGGATTTTTATCCCTGTGAATATAGATAAATAAAATGTGGTGAAGGTGCACCTTGATTACTATGAATTAGTGAGAAGCAATAAACAAGATGTACACAGAGAGCAAATGAATGGATCTAAAAAAGAGTGCTGTCTAGAAAACAAAGAGAACAAAATGATGCACTAAAATGTATATAATGTGAAACCCACGCAGAACAATACTACACATGGTACACATTCAGTCAAAAATGCTGCACATTAGTGGCAGAGGAGTCTGGGGTTAGTCCTTTACAGTGATTCTGACCAGAGTCAGAATCCTACAGTGCTGGACCACAGGCCAGTGACTATGGATGAGGCATGTGGGCCTACCTTGACCCTTGGGAGAGAATTGGGGAGAATGAATTACCTTTTTGAGGTATTCCCTGGTTCATGCTGATCTCAAACAGCAAACTATTGCTGCATCTCAAGGATTTAGAAGAAAAAGATCAAACAAAACCTAAAATTAGTAGAAGGAAAGAATAGAGATAAGAAGTAAATGAAATAGACACTTAAAAGAATGTAAAAAAAAATCAATGAAACAAAGAGCTGGTTCTTTAAGAATGTTAAAAAAAAATTGACAACACTTAGCTTGACCAAGAAAAAGAGAAAAGACACAAATAAAATCAGAGATGAAAAGGGAGACATTATAGTTGATACCACAGGCATATAAAAGATCATAGGAATTATGAACAACTATATCCCAGCAAACTTAATAGCCAAGAAATGGACAAAATCCTGGACACATGCACCTTATCAAGACTGAATCATGACAAATAGGAAAGTTGAACTGACCAGTAACAAGTAACAAGTTGATGAATTAGTAATAAGTTTTCCATTAAAGAAAAGCCTAGGGACAGATTACTTCACTGCTGAATTCTACCAAACACTTTGAGAAGAACTAATACCAATTCTTCTCAAAATATTTTAAAAAACTAAAAAGGTAGGAGTTATTCTAACCACAGTCTATGATGTCAGTATTACCCTGATGCCATAACCAGACAAGGGTATAACAACAAAAAGAAAACTAAATGATTAAAAAAAATTGATATGGAGGCAATTCTCTGAAACAAATTCTATGAGGCCAGCTTTATGCTGATAAGAAAATTATAGGCTGATATCCTTGGTGATCATAGATTGAAAAATCCTCAACAAAATACTAGTAAACCCAAACCAACAGCACATTAAAAAGATTATTCACCATGATCAAATGCTTTTCATTGCAGGGATGCAGGATGTACATGTTATGTTTTAGATTTGAAATGTCTCCCCAAAGCTCATGTATGAAACAATGCAAGATTTTTCAGAAGTGAAATGAGTAGATTATAAGAATTATGTATTAATCAGTGGATTAATCCACTGATATGAATTAACTGGGTAGTAACTGTCAGCAGCTAAGGTGTGGCTAGAGGAAGAAGATCACTGGAAACATGACTGTGGGGTTTATATATTCTCCCTGATGAGCAAAGCTCGTACTCTCTTCTGGTGGCCACATTCCAAGTAACTTTCTTCTTCCACACCCTTCTGCCACGGGCCTCACCTCAGGCCCAAGGCTATGGAGTTGTCAGACCAAGGACTGAACCTTTTAGTCCATTAGCCAAAATAAACTTTTCCTTCTCTTAAGTTGTTCTTGTCAGGTATTGGACACAGTAGCAAAAAGCTGACTAAAACATGTGATATGCCATATCAACAGAATGAAGAACAAATACAACATGATCATCTCAAGAGATGCAGAAAAAGCATTTTCTAAAATTCAACCTTTCTCACTCTCTTTTTGGTTTTCATACACTTTACTATTTATTTATAATATTCAACATCTCTAACAATGAAAATGCTGAGTAAGAAAAAGAAATAATAAAAAGCATCAAAATTGGTCAAGAGGAAGTCAATGTCACTGTTTTCAGATGACATGATCTTATATGTAGAAAACCCCAAAGACACCACCAACAAAAACAACAAAATCAGAACTAAAATGTTAATTCAGCAAATTTTAGGATATAAAATAAATATACAAATATTGCTAACATTATATGCCACTGTGAATTATCTGCAATAGAAACAAAGATAGCAATCCTATTTATAATAGCTACTAAAACCAAATACACAAAAACAACTAGGAATAAATACCTAGAGGTGAAAGATCTCTACAATAAAAATTAAAATTATTGAACACTGATGAAAGAAATTAAAGAGGACACATAAAATAGACATCCTGTGTACATGGATTGGAAGAAGCAATGTTATTAAAAAGTATATACTAAGCCCAGATCTGCCTCGCTGACCTATGCAGGAGCTCTTGCCCAACGTAGGCCTGAGACCACCCCGTGACCAGCAGACACCTGCCAGAGCTCAGGCTTAGCCCAGGACCACCTCTGCCCACTGGTAGACACCCACCAAAGTCAGGCTCAGCCCAGATCTGCCTCGCTGACCTGCACAGGAGCTCAGGCCCATGGTAGGCCCAAATCCATCCCATCAATGGCAGACACCAATCAGAGTTCAGGCTTGGCCCAGGACTACCTCTTGCACAGTAGATACTGCCGGACTCAGGCTCAGCTCAGACTTGCCTTGTTGACCTGTGCAGGACCTGGGGCCCAGGGTAGGCCCAAGTTTATCCCATCCCTAGCAGATACCTGCCAGAGCTTAGGCCCAACTCTGACCCAACTGTCTGACCTGTGCAAGAGCTAGGGCCCAGGGTAAGTTTGGGTCTGCCACACTCCCACCATCACCTGGGAGCCCAGGTCTAACTTACTTTCATCTTGAGATACTGCAGCCATCCCCAGAGCCTTCTCCATGCAGTAGCCTCTACCTTGGACAACAGAGAGGGCCTAGAAGCAGCTGCATCTTGGAGCAGGAATCCCAAAGCCAGTATAAGGCCCACCCTTTCAGCCCCATCTCTGAAAGACATTGTATTCATCTTGGGGCACTTCCACTACTATCTCCAGTTACCTCCTGCTATTGCCACCTATAATTGCAATAGCATCTGTCCTGGAACACCGGCGGTGCCTGGAAGCCCAACACCAAGGTGAAATACAGATAATCTGCACAGATGCTACAAGATGATAGGGTAGAAACTGTGATACCTCAGATCCACACAGCAAGTAAGGAAATCCCATAGACAACATGAAAAAATAAGGGAGGAAAGTGTCCCAAACAAACCAGGATACTATAATRTCAGAACCCATAGACAGTGCAGTTGATGAAATGTCAGAAAAGGAGTTCAAAATGTTCATAATTAAAATGGTCTGTGAATTAAAGAATGACCTAAATGAGCAAATATAGGCAAAAATCGGTCACTTCAACAAACAGATAAGAGAGCAAATATAGGCAATAATTGAAGACACCAGTAAATAGATAAGGGAGCAAATACAGGCATCCATTAATCACACCAACAGAGAGATAAGGGAGCAAATACAGGTAGAAAAGATTTCTTCAAGAAAGAGATAGAGACTTTGAAAAAATAAATCAGAAATCCTTGAGATGAAGGAAATAATAAACCAAATTTAAAAAACTCAATAAAAAGCATCATCAACAGACTAGATCACTTGGAACACAGAAGATCAGATAATGAAGACAAAGTATACAATCTGGAAAATAAAGTTGGCCACACAGTGAAGATATTAAGAAACCATGAACAGAACATCCAATAATTATGGGATAGCTTCAAAAGACCAAATATAAGAGTTATTGGGATAGAGGAAGGCACAGAGTTTCAATCCAAAGGAATGCACAGTCTCTTCAATGAGATAATATCAGAAAATTTCCCAAACATGAAAAATGAATTGGAAAATCAGATACAAGAGGCTTACAGGACACCAAATGTACAAAATTACAACAGATCTATACCAAGGCACATTATAATGAAAATGCCTACCATACAGAATAAGGATAGAATCTTAAAGGCTGTAAGAGAGAGGAATCAGATCACATATAGGGGGAGACCAATTCATATCTCAGCAGAGTTTTCAATCCAGACCCTCAAAGCCAGGAGATCCTGGAACAGCATATTACCAAGCTCTGAAAGAAAATAGGTGCCAACCAAGAATCTTGTATCCAGCAAAATTAAGGTTTAGATTTGATGATGAAATGAAAACCTCCCTTGATAATCAACATTTAAAAGAATTTACAACTTGAAAGCCTGCATGATAGAACATCCTAGGCAAAATATTCTAAGAAGAGGAAATGAAAAACAATGATGAAAATCAGCAGAGGGGGGAGGTATTACACTAAGGGRAAAAACTAATCAAAGGAGAAACCAATTCAAGTTAAATATCAAAAATAAACAAAAGTAGCTGGGAATACAAATCATATCTCAATAATAACCCTGAATATAAATGGCCTAAACTCACCAATCAAAAGACATAGACTGGCAGATTGGATTTTTAAAAAGACCCAACAATATATTGCCTCCAGGAGACTCATCTCATAGGAAAAGACATCCACAGACTGAAGGTGAAAGGTTGGGGAAAAACATACCATTCCCATGGACTGCAAAGGCAAGCAGGGGTTTCCATCCTTGTCTCAAATAAAGTAGACTTCAAGCCAAAAATAATCAAAAGGGAGAAAGAAGGATATTTCATACTGCTTAAGGTAACCATTCATCAAAGAGACATAACAATAATAAATATATATGCCCCAAACAATAGAGCATCTACAATCATCAGACAAACTCTTTCAAGAGTCAAATAGWTTACAGCACAATACTTCTAAGTGACTTTAAAATACCTCTTTCACCACTGGATATATCTGCCAAACAAGCTAAACAAAGAAACTATAGAACTCAATAATACAACTAAAAAYTTAGACATAACTGACATATATAGAATATTTCATCCTTCAATGAGCGAATACACTTTTTTCTCAGCATCACATGATCCTTCTCTAAAATATACCACATATTATACAAAGCAACTTTTAGCAAATATAAAAAAGTAGAGATACTACCCTGCATTCTATCAGATTATGATGGAATGAAATTCGAAATCAATGATAAAATAAAAAATAAAAGCTATTTCAACACCTGGAGACTAGATAATATGCYACTGAATGAATRATGGGTTCCATAAGACATTAAGGAGGAGATTAAAAACTTTTTAGAATGAGAACACAAATCTGAGACACTATGAAGGCAGTATTAAGAGGAAAGTTCATTTCATGGAGTTCATTCCCTAAAAGAAGAAAAAGTCAACAAATAAATGACTTAATATTACATCTCAAAACCCTAGAAAAAGAAGAACAAATCAACACCAAAAGCAGTAGAARACAGGAAATAATTAAAATCAGAGCTGAAATTAATGAAATTGAGACAAAAGAAATAATTGAAAAAATTGACAACACAAAAAGTTCATTCTTTGAAAAAATAAATAAAACTGACGACCCTTAACCATGCTAATGAAGAGAAGGAGAGAGAAAACTCAAATTACTCACATACTGATGAAGAAGGAAATATCACAACAGACACTACAGAAATAAAGAAGTATCCAAGGGGGATAGGTTTCAGGACCCTGTTGAGGAAATCAAAATCCACAATGCTCGAGCTCCTTATATAAAATAGCATAATATTTGCATATTAACTACATACATCATATATATATATATATTTAAAATAATCTCTACATTCTTTATAATGCCAAGTGCAATGTAAAGGGTATATAAATGGCTATTTAGGGAATAATTCCAGGGAAAAAAGGTCTGTACACATTCAGCACAGATGTTATATATTTTTAAAAATATTTTTAATATGCATGTGTTGAATCTGCAGATGCAGAAACAATGAAAAATGAGGGCCAAGGATAATAGGAAATTATGGAAGTATCTTTTTTTAGATGTTCATGGACCTTTATTTTATTCATTTATTTATATGTGGTGCTAAGAATCAAACCCAGTGCCTCACACATGCTAGGCAAGCACTCTACCACTGAGCCACAGCCACAGCCATGGAAGTGTCTTTCAAAAATTCTCTAAACCAGGGCTTTCTTTTAAGTCATTGAGATGAATCAAAATTATATATTTATGATGGACATAACTGAAGTATCAAGATTCTGAAAGTTCTTTCATTGTTGAAGGTAATTGTTTGAAGGTAATGTCAAATGTGTATTTGGCTTACTAAAAGCCTTCTGTTCAGCTGTTGAATGCAGTGCACAAGGTTCTGAAAATGTGTTTTTCTTTAGACTAACTTCTGTACTTGAGTATTATCTTTTAAATGAATCTGGAATACCTCTTAGTTGGACCTTTAGTACTCCAGAAAGTTGAATGTTTTTCCTTACTTCTCTGAGCATGTTTAATAGCTCATTCCATCATTTGAAAATGTTAATTTAATATACTTATGGATGAAGAAAATATTGTGCTAGGTATTGGAAATCTAAAACTAATAGAAGGCCATATCTCAAAGGCTTTATAACCTGTGAGAAATACACACCAATTTCATGAATTCACAATATCATCTGATAATGTTTCATTTAGAAATAATATTAGTGGCTCTGTATACTAAAATTTACCTATCATAATGCAGATCCTGAAACTTTCATTTCAGTAATATGATAGATTGTTTATTTATAGAAACCCTAATATGTTATAATTTCAAATACAAATATGGCTCTTTTTTTTTAAACCTGGCATAGTGGAGATGGTGATAAAGGAAGAGAGCCCTTAAAGGCAAGAAGTGAGGTAAAAAATATCAGTTCACAAAGAAGCAAATACTAGATGTGGAGTTTGTGCAGGGCTATACAGGAAGATAGGAGAAAAGGCCAGGAGGAATAAATAGGGTAAGAAGACAGGACTCTACCTATGAAGCTGGGATCTKAGAAGGATCTTAGAACTATCATGGGGGAACCACTCTGCCGACGTAAATTAAAAATTTACTTTCCTCTTCAGGTCTTGACTCTGAACAGAATGGGAAAAGAGAATCCTCCAAAGAAATCCCCACAAACCAACATTCTCACATTTGGAGCCAGGATTTACATATTCTGTTTGTTCCCAGAATCCAAAATTGAAAATTTAGATTAATAATGTTGTGGTTTAGTAATGCCCACACTTGCCTGTTAAAAGCAAATGTAAATCCATTCTGAAAAGACTGATTTTGAAACCCAGGTCTCAATGAATTTCCATAACTAATAATCAGTAAATATATCCCAAATGCAACACTGATTTTACATTTAAAATTTTGTTAATTCCTTCATGCATAGATTGCTATAATCATCTCATTCATTGTCTCTGAACCCTGCCTCCAGTACTAGGTTACACTGTCCTCACATCAATGATTATGCTGAAATGAAATCATTATTTGTGTATTTGTTTAGTATCTGTCTCTCCAAACAGAATATTTTCTCCAAGAAGGCAGGAATTGTATTTATATTAGCAATTATTGCAATCACAATACTTAGTGTTACACTTAATGTATAATTAGTCACTAATAAATGTTGGATGAATAAATGAGTGGGAAGTTATACTTCATTTGGTTGGATCCCTCCTCATCATTAACATCATCTTATATGTTTTATAGAGAAGGACATTTGTTCTTTCTTCCTGTAATGATTTCTTCTAAGCATTAATTTTGCTAAGCTTAGTGACTTGTAGTGATATTCCAGCTGCATTTGGGAGAAAGACTTTATAAAAACCCTTTGGGATATTATTTGTGTGTCCTGTCAATAGATGGAAACACACAACCTTGTGAGAATGTAAGCAAAAGACTGTACTGCCCCAGGTTCTCAAGAATACTCAACTCATGTGCCAGGTTTTTTTCCCCCTTATGCTCATTCCTTCCTCTTTTCTCTTTAATCCCACCTTATGTTAGAGAACTTCCCTCAGTGTGTGCTGGAAATCTCTGATCAAGAGGTGTTGGAATGGTACACTGCCAAAGACTTTATTGTTGGGAAACCACTTACTATCCTTGGGAGAAATTTTTTCATTTATGATTGTGATCCATTTACTCGACAGTTCTACAAAGAGAAGTTTGGAATCTCTGATTTACCACGCATTGATGTGAGCAAGCAGGAACCACCTCCTGTAAAACAGGTAATAGAATAGTAGTAGTTCTGAGTATGGTGAGAAAAAAAAATACTTTATGTAGAAATTGAAAAAAATTAAAAGAGAACTCCTATATGAATGCTCAATTAAAAAAAAAACAAATGAAGAATATGTAATAGAGTAGTTCACAAAAGAAATATAAGTGGCAATTGACACATGAAAAGACCTTTAATCTAATAATCAAAGAAATGGATTGAAAATTATAATGTTTTTGAGTCTAATTTAAAAAAGACTCACAATATCCAATCTTTGCCCATGTGAAGGCATGTAAATTTTCACATACTATTAATAGAAAAGCCAATCAGAATAATTTTTCTGAAGGGTGGTTTGTCATCATTTTGATTTTTAAAAATAAAATGTTATATATTTTTGGCCTAGAAAATGTTTTTGAAGACAAAGAGATATGTGTTTTATAGTGAAATAAAGTATAAGGCGATTGACAATTTAAATTAAGATATGTTAAATCCATATAATTAGAAGACTTAAAGGCCTGTAAAAGAGGAAGTAAGTCTGTATGTACTAACATTGTCCAATGTGCATAATACATTTTAAGTGTATTTATATTTATAACATGATCCTATTTTTGTAAATTTCCCTATATAATATCTGCTTATATATACTGAGGAAAAGACCTGGAGGGATGTCAGCTATATTATTAATGGCAGTTGGTTCAACATGTGGGAATGTGGAGGTGCAGATGACCAGAAAACTTCCTTTTTATACTCCTATGTTTGGCTTTAATTTTTCTTTTTTGTATCAAATCAGGTATTGCTTAAAAAACATTTTTATTTTATTTTTTAAATTTTTCATTTATTTTTGTTGTGATCAAATACACACCAGCATACCATCTTGACCACTTAGAAGTTCATGGTATTAAATAGTTCTTTTAAATTGTGGTTTTGTGTGTATGTATGTGTGTGCTAGGGATCAAACCTGGGGCCTTGCCTTATGCATGCTAGACAAGTGCTTTACCACCAGGCCGCATCCCCAACCCTCATAAATTATGTAGAAAACAGGAAATTCCAAATCAAAGTTACAATAATACTAGCTTTTAGACAATTTTTTAAATGTAATGTATTAGTCTCTTAATGAGTYTCTATGTATTCACTTTTATCAAGATCTTTATTTCTTCATACATCTTCAAATTACTACATAGCATCCTTTAATTTCATTTAACCCYGAAGGTGCAGGTCAGTTGTAGTGGCAATTAACTTCCTCAACTTTTGTTTGTCTAGAATGTTTTAATTTCTCTCCCATTTTTGAAGGGCGTCTTTGCTGCATATTGACTTCTTGGTTGATAAATTTTGTTCTTTTGAATATTTTTTGCCCACTGCCTTTTTGGCCTTCAATGTTCCTGATAATAAACTTGCTGAAAGTCTTATTGATTATCCCTTGTAGGTTACAAGATATCCTCTCTTGCTACTTTCAAGATTCTCTTTTTATCTTTGTATTTTGAAAGTTTGATTATAATATGTCTTACAGTGTGAGTCTCTTTGAATTTATCTTACTTGTTTATCAAGCTCATAAGATATTTTTATTCATAGCTTTCATCAAATTTGGAAACTTTCCAGATATTATTTCCTTCAAATATTCTCTCTTATCCTTTCTCTTTCTTTTCTCTTCCTAAGACACATACACTGCATATATTGGCATATTCCCACAGACACCTTAAACTCTGCTCATTTTCCCCATTTTTTTCCCTTTATATTCCTTAGACTCAATAAATTCCATTATCCTAACTTCAAGTTCACTGATTCTTCTGCTGGTTAAAGTCTGCATTTGAATAACTTTAATTTTCAGCTCCATAATTTCTTTTTGGGTATTTTATTTTTCAATTCATATTTCCATTTTGTCCATGTATGCATCTATTGACTTTTTTCATATCTTCCTTTTGTTCTTTGAGTACTTTCAAGACAGTTGTTTTAAAGTCTTTGTCTAATAAATCTGCCATCTGAGTTTTTTCAGGGATTGCTCTATTGAATTTTTTCCCCACTTGAAAGGGCCATACTTTTCTAGTTCTTTGTATACCCTGTAATTTGTTGTYGTTGAAAACTGGACATATAAATTTAATAATATGGGAACTCCGGAAATCAGATTCTTCTCTTTCTCTATAGTTTGCTGGGGTTTTGTTGTTGTTTTAATGTTTTCATTACTTTTATTTTCAATTGTTGTAGGCAGTTTCTGTGTCAAGTATCAATCAGCCTGGGRTATAAAATGAAGGTCTTTTGAAGTCTCTTCTGCATCTTTTCTATGCAGTAATTTAAAATTTTTCCTTGTATATGCAGTTGTTTTTGAATGTCCTTCTTGTTAGTATCAAGCTTCCAAAAGAGGAAAAAGAATAGTGAAATGCAGGAAATGAGGTACCAGCTCTTTAGAGTTACTTCCTCTGAGAGGGAATGGCTTGTAGCCGTGCGGGGTGGTGCAACAACAATGGCCATCTGCCTGTTTGTCAATTCTCTGTGATCAGAAATAGCCATCACTGATGCATACTCAGATCCCCAATATTTGGAGGACAGAGTAATTTTTTTTTTTTGCCTCCTCTGGCTCCTGCTGGTTGAATGCAAGTTATGTAGTCTGCTTACCGCAGGGTTGAGGGGTATAGGATTGGTAGCTGCGACTGTATAAGAGCTGAAATTTATGAAAATTCACCAATTTACTGCCTAGGACTTCTACTGAAAGTTACAAGTCTTCAAGAGACTCCAGAATTTAAAAATTGCTACCTCAGATTCTGCAGTGTAATTGTTGTTTAGGTAGAGAGAGTGAGTCCTGGTATTTCCTACTTTGGCATCTTCCCAAAATTTTCCCTTGTATTATTTTTATAACATTTTTATTCAGTTTGATTTTTTTTTAAAAAAGAGACATCTTTTAAAATTTCAGACCCTAGGGTATTTCATTATTCTTTTCCTATTCATCATATTTATCATGTCCTTTCACTTAAAAATGGTTGGGAGCAAAACAAAGACTGATAATTAAAGATGTTGGAAKATGACCTTTGGTTGCAACAGCTTTCTTAGAGCCACAGTGGGACACACAATTCTGTGTATTCCAGAAGTCTACTCTGATCTGAGAATAAGTTCATAGCACCTTATAATGTGCCAAAGTAGTGATCTGATAAACATGAACCTTCAGAATTTTATCCAAAGTACATATTTTAAAGAATTTCAAAAGAAAATTGCAAGTTATAAAAATTACATATATATTAAATTGAAGAAGTATCTAAGGTATTAAGATGGTATTGTATCATGAACTAAGAAAACTGGCTTTTTGTTATACCTGTTTGTACAGAAGCACCTCATATAAATCTCTCTATGACTGTTAAAATAGGATATTAATACCTACCCCCATATTTATTTTGCTGGTGTGTGCATAAAACCACATCATTGGGCTTTTTCTCCTCAAAAGGAATAAATAAAAGGATAGAATTATTGAATTCCTCCAGCCCAGGCCCTTCATTTCTGCCTCATTTCCTTCTTCTCTTACTTTTACTTAGCCAATAATCATACTAAATTACATGAGATTCTGCGAATAGAATGTTCTGTTTCATTCTGCCAAACTTTCTCTTGTTCTCTTCCATCTGCTTGAACCACTTTTCCATCATCCCTTCACATGGCTCATTTTATACTTTAACACTCAGTGTTGGCTTTCTCTCCTCCAGGAAAGCTTCTCTAAAGTTCCAGTCAAGGCTAATAAAAGCTTTTTGTCTCTGCTCTTGGGGTATTGTATACCTCCCTCCTCCCTGGCACTCATCAGTTATATTAAAAATTCTGTTTATGAATATTTTCTACTGGACTATAACTTCCTTGAGGCCAGGACTATATTATTTTCATTTTTCAGCTCCTAGCACCTATTGCAGTGCCTAATAAATAGGAGATATGTAACATATTTTTTGAACTGGACTATGGAAGTCTGCCTGGGAAACATATGTTATGTTCCCCAGGAAGGCAGCAGATGTCTTTAGACATGTCTTTCAGAAACAATGTTTCATAAAACCAGTTAAAAAGAAGGATTTGGATTTTGGTAGACTATGAGTTCCCATGAGCAATAACATTTCTGGAAGGAAATGTGGTAGCTTTTGCTGTCAATTTTTTTCTCTGATAAAACTCATAAAATAGTGTTCACTGATTAAGAATTATAATTAATCATCTATTGCTAAATTTGTTTTGCAGAAATTGATGTACTACAGAGAAAATATCATAGGAAAAGACTTAGATTTTTATGAAACAAATTATTCTACAACTTTAGTTTTTAGATTAGGACAGGGCAAAATGGTAGTTTAAGGTACTTGCCCATTGTAAGACACAAGGCATTTCTATTATACATCAAAAATTCATACAAGAAGGAGGTAGTATGGACAGGGACTGCAACATAATAATTCCCTTAATGAAAAGGCTTTGATCCATCTTTTAATCCAATGAAAGCTTTTGAGTCTTAGGTTACCTCTGTCCCTTATACCCTCATAATCATTACTATGATCTCCACCCCCACCCCAATAACCTGTCTTTTAAGGGAAAAAAAAGGATGAAAAGCTTGGATAAAGAACAGAGATAACAGAAGAACCACTGTAGATTTTAGTTTGTTTTTCTCCCCTTCTCCTTGCTTCTATGTTTAGTAGAAACAAACTGTATATATAATAAAACATCCATACATATGGCATATTAACCATAGCATTGGTTAATTTTTTAGTGACTTCTCCACAATATATAATTCTCATATTAATAAATTCTCTGCCAATCTCTGAAAATCTTTGTTAGAGAAGAATAAGAAAGCTCCAGTTATCAAGAAGCAAATACCTTTCAGTCCTCACATGAATCATCCTTGGTTATTACACATCATTTATTTTAACTCTTAACAACATAAATGGAAACCAAGTATGGGAAGCTGTAGCAGGATTGAGATAGATAAAGCTAGAGCCAAACCAATGGCCAAGGACAGTAGTAAATATAAACTGGGTATATTTAATTCGAGAATCAAGGCACTTTTAGGTCAAACTGCTCTGAAGGAATATGAGAATCTCAGGCTCAAAGTGTAGTAGCTTGATTAAGAAAGCTCAGGCATAACTCTGGTAGGTATGTCATATGAACAGGAGAATCTATGAGTGATGATGATGTCCCATGGTCAGAGTGGCTTATCTATTTTAGAAGTGCAAGAAGCAAAGTGCCAACCCCAGCCATGATGATTTAGGAAATGTCATTACTCTACTCAGGGGAAATTAAATATGATTCAGAAAATACAAGTAAGAATTTGATAGAATAAGCCTCAGAGACCTATAAATGCCTCTCTGTAAATTCCTCAACCCTTGATTGCACCTCTAATCAGGATGTTCCCTCTATATGTTGATACATATGCAGAGTAAGTTCAGGACCAYCACTTTGATATTTCTGCCTGGCCTCTTGAGAAACTCAAATGTTTAATGTGTCATATCTCAGCCAGAGGTCCCTCTGTCACAATAACCTGAATATTTATTGGGTATTGATTTTGCAATTGAAGCAAATTAGGCCATTGTCCACCTGCTGAATCCACTAGTCATATTCTGGCCATTATTATACCTTTAATTACAGTCCTAACAAGTGGGTGAGTGGGTTGAAATTCCAATTAGTATACCTTAGATGAATATAATGGAGTCATTTGTTTTTGAGGGGATATCCTGTTGTAGCTAGAATTGGGGACTATATGAATTAATTTGATAATGAGCCTGAATATAATATATAAAAAGATTTTGAGAACGCATGTGCAAGTTTAAAATATATATTATAAATAATTTTTTACATTAAATATATGTATATATACATTAAATATATATTTATATTAAATATATGCATATTTACAAATATATATAAATAATATGCATTTATATATTTATATATATGTGTGTGTGTGTATATATATATATATATATATATATATATATATATATATATAAAATACATACACACACACACTCACATACACACAGGCTGAGTTTCCTGAGTGTACATGATAAAAAAAGAGTCAAAGAAAAAGAAGATTGTTGATGTTTGCCTAGTATTGATGTGGAAGAGGAAAACTTAGTCTCCGACCTAAGATTTTAGTTAAACAAATTTCAGCATTTTATAATGATGCTTTAAGCTCTTCTATGTAGACAAAGGGTCTGAGTTCTCAAAAAGAATACCTGCCATCCTCTCCTGTGTGGCAAAAATAAAGAAATAAGAATATTAAACATATAGAGGTAAATAGAAAAAAAATGTATGAATAAAGTCCTGACCACCCTTTTGCCACCTRCAACTTACACAGAAATGCATGCACACTTCGGAGAATCTGAGAAAAGTGTTTTCAGATCTGCCACCCTGAGGCCAGCTTCCTAAAACAAAGAGACCAGAGAGACCCATGGGCCTCACCATCTTAGGGTGACCATAAGGTCATTTTCACTGGCAGGGTAGGATTAGGTCCTGCTTTGGTAGTAAGTAATCAGGGGGCATCACTCATAGTTTCTAGCCCTAGCAGAAACCTTGTAGCATCATTAGTCATTTCTGTGATCAGTAAACATCATAAAAAAGGAAGAATGGAATTTTATTTTTTTTTCTGATTGAATTTGTATATAGAGCAATTGGTTTTGAATAAGTGTTTTCCAGAGGATTTTTTTTCCCCAGAGGATTTTTTAAACTTTGATGTAATTTTTTTTTGTGGGTGGGTACTAGGGTTTGAACTCAGTTTAACCACTGAGCCACATCTCTAGCTCCTTTTAGTGTTTGGGTTTTTTAAATTTTATTTTGAGACAGTGTTTCACTAAGTTTCTAAGGCTGGCTTTGAACTTTTGATGCTCTTGCCTCAGGTTCCCAAGTTGCTGAGATTATAGGCATGAGCCACCACGCTTGGCTTTAATATAATTTTAACACAAATAGCATCTGCTTTATTTCTTGGTTCCTGTGTATTTCTAGGAATTACCTCCTTACAATGGTTATGGATTAATTGAAGATTCTGCTCAGAATTGCTTTGCTCTTATTCCAAAAGCTCCAAGAAAAGATGTTATTAAAATGCTGATGAATGACAACAAGGTGCTTCGTTATTTGGCTGCACTGGTGAGTCAAATTTTTATGTACCTTCTGTTCTTAGAATTGTGTACTCTTGTCTGATTTGCCTGTCTGTTTTTACTAAAACAAGTACTGAATCTAGATCCTAGTCTTTAAGAAGGTTGAATAATATTGAGTATAGTACCCCTGAACCAAGACCTAGCTGAAGTCCTGAAGTCCTTTCTCCCCCATGAACCTTTTTTAGATAATTAATCTCKCTTTTATTCTTCAAATTTCAACAGACCTTGTTGCCTCTTTGGTAAGCATTTATGAAATTTTGTGCTGTATTCAAATAATTTATGTATTTATGTGTCTTTCCAGGTAATGTGATTTAGTAATGTCTTACTAAATTTTATTATTAGCTGTGATATCTAGCTTGATATATTTTATATTCATTAAATGTAATAAATTGAGTCATACCATATTAATAGCACTGCCTTTTAGAGGTTATGTGATTTTGGTTAAGAGCATGGAGATTGAAAATAGACATAAATTCAAAATTAAACTTCACACTTTTTTTTTTTTTTTTGGTATGAAGGATTGAACCAGGAGCATTTAACTATTGATACACATCCACAGCCCTTTTTAGTTCTTGAAACAGGGTCTCCCTAAATTTCTTAGCACCTTGCTCACTTATTGAGTCTGGCTTCGAAATTGTAATCCTCCTGCCTCAGCCTCCCAGGCCACTTGGGCTTTCAGATGTGAGCCACCAATGCTCAGCTAAACTCAAACATTTTTAAAACCATGTTTAAGGAGGTAAACAATAAGATAGAGAATTTCAGCAAAAATTGAAAACSAAACCAAAAAAGTCTATTTTAGTTTTGAAAAATTGTCATATTGGTAGAATAAAAGAGAAAAGATAGATTCTGAAAAGCATTTGATAAAATTAGTCTCTTATGATTTAAAAACAAATCCTTTAATAGAGAATAAAACATTATTTTTTTAATCTTTTAAAGGCTATCTGCCAAAAATCTACTGTAAACAGTATACATAGTGAGGAAATGTGAGCAGTATACTTCCTGACGTTAGGAACAAGGCAAGACTGCTTCACACCTATGTTCAACATTGTTCTGGAATTTCTTGCTATGGCAATAAGATAGAAAAGTACAGAGAAATGCATAAGGATTGAAGAGGAAGAAATAAAATTTCATTATCCAAAATTAGTGGTTTTATATGTAGAAAATAAAAAGAATCTACATTCTATGTTAGTAAAGTCAATACAAATGTCAATAAACAAAAAAAGTTAAAAATACCATTTACCATAGCACCAAAAATATTAAATTCCTAGAAATAAATCAAACAAAAGGTATATAATACCCAAAACAATATAAAGAAAATTAAAGAAGACCTAAGTAAATGAAGGGGCATTTATATTCATTGGTTAGAAATTTCAGGAAATTGGTTACAAATTTCACTGTAGGAAGGGAATCAGATCAGTGGATTTTCTCAACAAAACATCTCAATGTATTATACAGCTATAGTAATGAAATCAGTATACTTTTGGTGCAAGTATAGATAATTATACCAATGGACTAGGATAGTCAGCCCCAAAACAGAGCTACATGTGTAAGATACATGGCAAATATGGCACTACAGAGAGGTTAGGAAATAGGTCATTTTTAATAAATTATATCAGAACAGGTATATCCACATGGGAAAAAATAAAAATATTTGAACTCTACTTCACACCAAAAATAAAAAGTAATCCTGAATAGATTGAAAATTTAAATATKAAAGGTGAAACAATAAAACTTCTTAATGATAGTATAATCTTAATTTGTAATAGAGAAGATTTATTTAGTAGGAACCAAAAAGCAGTACTTGTTTTAAAAATGGGTAAATTTAACTACATTAAGTTGTAGAATTTCTGTTCCTCAACAAAACAACCAAAAACACACCAAAAAACAGAAACAAAAACCACCATTGAGAGAGTAAAAGAGGCAAGCTCAGAATGAGAGAAAATGTGTGCTACAGAAATCCTAAGAACTCATATCCAAAATATGTGAAGGACAATCTCAACTCATCCCTTCCTTCCTCTCTTCCTTTCCTCCCTCCCTTTCTTCTCCTTCCTTCCCTTTCCTTCCTTCCTCCCTCCCTTCATTCCTTCCTTCTTTCTCCCCCCACCCCCTCTTTTTTTTTTGTATGTGGGATTGAACCCAGGGGTGCTTAACCACTGAGCCACATCCCAGGCCTTTTTATATTTTATTTTGAAACAGGGTCTTGCTAAGATGCTTGGGGTCTCACTAAGTTACTGAGGCTGGCTTTGAACTGGTGCTCCTCCTGCCTCAGCCTCCCAAGCCTCTGGGATTACAGGTGTGCACCACTGTGCCCAGCTCAATTCATTTCTTAACAGGCATTTCATAAAAGAGAATATCAAAAAMGCCTTTAAACGTATGAGAAGGTGCTCAGCCTCCTCAGTAATCTGGGAAGTGCAAATTACTACCTCAATGAACAACTTCTCCTCAMCCATCAGAATGATTAGTATGTTGGYGAGAATATGGAGCCATAGGAACTCTCATACTCTCAGTGATACTTCCACTTAGTAAAACAATTTAACATAGTCCAGAATACCATATTGTGCCAAAATGATAGTATTCTATTTATACACCAAAAGATAAAAATGTTCATAACAGTATAATTCATAATAGCCAAAAGTAATAGCCATAATATCCATAATAGACCTAAGTATCTACCTATTAGAGAATAGATAAATAAATTATGGCTAATTTGTACAATGATTTGAATTCTATTCAGTGAAAATTAGTGAACTGTAGCCTAAAATATTAGCATGTATAAATCATACGAACATAATTTTGAGGGAGTACTGGGGATTTAACCCAGGGACACTTAATCACTGAGCTACATCCCGAGCCCTTTTTGTCATTTAAGACAGGGTCTCACCAACTTGCTTAAGGTCTCAATGAATTGCTGAAGTTGGGCTTGTGATCCTCCGGTCTCAGCYTCCTGAACTGCTGGGATTACAAGCATGGGCCGCCATGCCTGGCCAAACATAATTTAAAATGTAAGGTTACAGACACAAATTAATACATACATGTCATATAATTTCATCTATATAAAGATTTAAAAGCAGTCAAAACAAAACTATTTTGGGATGCCTGTTTGTGATGATAATAAAGAAAACCATAAAACTCAAGATAGTGGCTTTTTTGGTGGGGAAAGGTAGCATATAGAGAGCACTTTCTAGGTTCTGTCAGTGTTCTATTTCTTGACATGGGTGGTGATTACATGGTTGTTCACTTTGTGAAATTCTTTGAGCTGTATATTATGGGTTTTTCTTTGTTTTTGTAGTTTTCTCTGTGTTGTAGTTCATGATAAAAAAAAAAACATTTAAAAGAAAGCCATCAGAATTATTAGCAATGAAATACTGGGTATGTTTGAATGGTCAGGGAAAAAGAAGTGATATTCTTTCTGGTCAAGGTAATTTTCAAATGTTTTTTCTTGACTTATTTGCTAAAATAGAGAACTGTATTTATTAGGCTCCTCACAAAAGTTCTAAAAAAAGAAAGCATGCTGGACAATCAGGGGAAAAGGTGTAGGAGTGAGGTGGGGACTTCAGAAGAAAAGAGGGAAATTAAGTTAAAAATGACTAGAGACAAATATCAATAGATTCAGTATAATTGAGTTAATATAAGGAGTTCGGACAAGGACACTGGACATGTTGTGAGACAATAAAGTGAAAAAAAGCTAGGCAGGTGATGGTTGTTTAAGTAAAAATCTGCTGGTAAACTGCCTGGGGCTCAGAATAGAGTGCTGGCCCAGGAACTTGGGGAAGTGTAAAAACATTCATTTGAGCACAAAAGAAAAACTTTATGCCATTACAAGAGAAAAATTGGTTCTGGTGCATGTCCTGCCTGTCAAAGAAACTCTGAAGACCCAAAATACAGAAGAATCCAATTTGCTCAACAAAGTTTGTTTACATCAGGTACTACACATGGTGGTTGTCTGATATGAATTTTAGTGTACTATGTTAGGTCCTTTGAAAAATATGTAATTACATTATTCACAAATGAGGAGCAAATCATTCAACTACTCAAATTTTCAATTTCTTTTCTTTTTTTTTTTTTAATTTTGAGACAGGGTCTCATTAAGTTGCTTAGGGTCTTGCTAAGTTGCTGAGGCTGTCCTCAAATTTGTGATCTTCCTGTCTCAGCCTCCTGAGTAGGTGGAATTACAGGTGTGCACCACCATGCCCAGTAATATATCATATTTTTAAAAAGTTGTGAAAACAGAATTTGAACAATGATTTTCAAAACAGTGTACATGCCCTCCAAAGGGTATACAAGACCATACAATATGTAATGTTTGTTAAGAAAATATTATTTTGTCTGTTTATTTTAAATTCTTTTTTTTTTTTTTTTGGTACCCGGGAGTGAACCCCAAGTCTTTAACCACTGAGACACATCCCCAGCCCTTTTTCATATTTTGGAGACAAGGTCTCGCTGAGTTGCTGAGGCTAGCTTTTAACTTGTAATTCTCCTGCCTCAGCTTCCCATGCCACTGGAATTACAGGCACGTCACCATGCCTGGCTATCTATATCYTACTTATGAGTGCACTTATTTCATAGTCCCCAATATTTTTATATGTGCTTTGTAATGCATAAAATATGTAGCAGAACTTATGTTTATTTATTGATTTTTATTATATACCTGGCTCTGTAGGAATTTAAAWTTGGGGAAACTGGCTAGATTAGGAATCTTCATAACATCTTCTTTTCTTCACCCTTCTAGGAATCCCCTATCCCAGAAGACAAAGACCGCCGATTTATCTTCTCTTATTTTCTAGCCACTGATATGATCAGTATCTTTGAGCCTCCTGTTAGAAATTCTGGTATCATTGGGGGCAAGTACCTTGGGAAGACTAGAGTTATTAAACCATTCTCTGAGGCAGAAAACCCCATCTACTATGGYCCTAGTGACTTCTTCATTGGTGCTGTCATTGATGGTAGGTCCAAACACAGTTCAGAATTTCCCACTGACTGAGTAAATGGGCTCTTCTTAGTTGTAATTTAATTAATTTAAATTTTGTGAGAGGCAATTAGGTTTTATTCCAGATGAGATAAATCTAGTAGAGTTTTATAAGTGGTATAATATCTTAACCTCATTCCTTATCAATTAAACTTTAAATTGGTTGCATTTGTTGGCACTAAATTTTTTATATTAATGCAACCATGTTAGTTAGGTGTTCACAGTGGTCTTCCTAAAAGCTGAGAAAAGTACTGCATATTAATTTATACAGCTATTGGTAATTCATTAGTCTGGGTTATATCGTTGGGGTGTTAATAGTATTTTATCTCTGATCACATGAGAGAAACAATAAAACTAAGTGTATTGCTACCTCTTTCCAGTGTTTGGCCACCGATTCATCATCCTTGATATAGATGAGTATGTTCTAAAATACATGGAGAGCAATGCTGCCCAGTATTCACCAGAAGCACTCTCATCAATTCAGAACCATGTCCGAAAGCAAGAAATTCCTGCACCAGAACTGGAAAAGTATGTTTGACTGCCTAGGGTCCTTTTTGGCCTTGGCATATGCAAAATTTCCAGGAAGTAATTCTTGTCAAAATGAATGTGTAATAATATTTTAGATTTTCAGATTTCCCTCATCATATTGGAGTTTATTAGATCTACACAAAAAGTTCCCTGAATTTAGTATAATAACTAGTAACTTGGAACTTTTTCAGCTACATTTATTTAGCAAATAATTATTGAATACCTGTATTTAAGATGCTATCACCAGGTCATTGAGCTTTAGCAATAAATAAAATAGACAAGAAGTTGTTGACATCATGGAATTGACYTTCTAAGCAGCAAGAGATAGATATTAACACAAATAAGTAAATTATACAGTATACTAAGTGACAAATGCCATTGGAAAATAGGGCAAAATGCACATGATAAGGGCTTCTGGATGGGGGAACTGGGTTGTAATCACTTAGTGTGGATGGTTGTACCTTAAGAAAGTGACCTTGAGCAACACTTTGGGGAGTTCACCTGGTGGACATCTGGAAGAATAGCTTGTATAAAGAGTGCAAAGTCTCTGAGGGGTAGCACACACCCAGCCTAGAGTATTCAGGTAGCACTGGCCAGCAGTAGACTAAYAGGAGTAGCTAACATGGAGGGAGGTGAGGGAGAAGAAGAGATTGAATTAGAAAACTAACAAGGGGCCAGGTTGTGCAGGGCCTAACAGGTCTGTGGAAAGATCTTGGTCTTTCTCYGAATGAAATGAAAACCCCGTGGGATTTTCTGAGTAGAGGAATAGCAAGATGTGATATATGTTTTAAAAGAATTACCCTGGCTGTTCTGTTGAAAATAGATTAGGAAGGAGACCAGCTAAGAGGATCACAGTAGTAATCCTGGCAAGACGTGATGATGCATGGACCAGGGTGGTGAGTGGAGGTGTGGGAGAAGTGCTGTGATTTCATTATATTTTGAAGGTAGAGCCAGTGTGACTACAGACAGATTATACAGGGGCTGTGAGAAAAAGAGAATAGTTAAGGATACTCTAAGGTTTTTGGCATGAACATCAGGAAGGAAGGACTTGTCATCAACTGAGATGGAAAAATGTGGACTATAGATAGAGAAGGTTTTTAGTGGAATAAAGGTGGGAATTTTGGTTTTGGATATACTAGGTTTAATACTTAAAAGAAATAGCCAAGTAGAGATGTCATATAGACTGTTGGGTATGTAAGTCAGGAGTTCAGGTGAGAGGTCTAGGCTGAAGAAGTCAATGTGGCAGTTGTTGTCATATAGATGATATTTTAGGCCATGAGACTGAATGAAATTTCAAAGGGAGTTAGTATAGATAAATAAGTGAATAGCCCAGCACAGTGGTATAATCCCAGTGACTTGGGAGGCTGAGGAAGATTGCAAGTTCAAGGCCAACCCCTGCAATTTTTTGAGGCCCTAAGCAACTTAGTGAGACCCTATCTCAAAGTAAAAAAATAAAAGGGGCTGTAGTTCAGTAGTAAAGCATGGGCTCAATCCTCAGTACCAAAAAGAAAAAGTGCAGCTAGGCTTTGAGGTCCTCTGATGCTAAGAACAGGAGAAACTGGAAAGGACCACCAGTAGGCARAAAGAAAGCCAAGAGAGTATGGCATCCTGAAAGTCACATAAAGAGAGTATGGACAGTCCTCCTTTCTCAGTTGTGTGGGACTGGAAAMACCATTGAGTGACTGTGAAAAACAACTGTAGTAATATAGGAAAACTTACTATTATTCTGCTAAAAATTTTTGTCACCATATTAATTCTGATCATTATGTTCATGTAGGGAAACAAAAAAATGGTAAAACTAGTTTTTACTCAGCACWTTGTAGTTTAAAACAGTGGGAACTGAGAAGTAAAGTATTTTATTTTTGAAAAAAAAGTATCAAGTAGTTTGAACAGTGCTTGCCTTGTTCTCATTGTGTAACTTGTGATACAGACTGACATGTTTTCTGTGACTTGGCACATTGTCACACTCCTGTTTAAGTTTGGTCAATTTCTAACATTTTTATCATTTTTTACCTTCAACTGTCATGAAAGATATTCTAGAATTTTTTTACTGAGGGTAAGTTGTCTCTGAGAGTTCTTTTCACAGCAGTATTTTTATGGGCCTCCAAGGCATTCTCGTCCTTTTCATTGCAACTGCTTTCCTCACCTGTGTCAATAGCTTCACCTTCATGGAATTCCTCTGGCCACATATCCACCATCTTTGAAAGAAAGTAGCATCCACATTACCACAGTCAACTGTTTCTTTCATAACTCCATTTATGTTTGACCAGAATTTCACTTTTGGACAATTCCCTCTTTTGATGATCCATTTTTGTAAAGTATCATGTTGCTGTGTCCCCAAGAAAGAGGAGGCAAAGTAGTTATGCACTTGGCTGTGAATGAACTGAAAAACAGATGCACGGGAACCAAGAGACAATAGACTTGGAGACAAGTGATGTGATTGTCACTGATCATAATGTGCATCTGCTATTTATGTTACAATTAGTTCACTAATGACATAGAAGTTTTTACTTTATGCAATTACTCAAGATTAATAAACTGTGGTAACTGGGATTTGAACCATGTTGTTTTACTAAATGGTGGTGAATGAGATTCATGCATCTTAGAACTGTGCAAATCCAGAACTGTCAGTGTATCAAGGAAGATGGAATGATTTATGTGTCAAATAAGGATTTGGCATTTTGCACAGAATTTGGGGAACTTAGTGAGGAGTTTTAGGGCAAAGAGAGGCATAAGAAAATTTAATGGGAGTGGATTTAAGAGAGAATGAAAGGAGGAATTTTTTACCAGAAGTACAGATAACTCTTTTGAGAAGGTTTGGTGCAAAGGTGAACAGAGAAGGAGTGGAGAAGCTGGCAGAGGAAGAAAATTCAAGACAGGTTTTGTTTTGTTTTTGCTTTAAAATAGAAGAAATAATAGAATTTTATATATGAAAATTCTGTAGTAGAGAGAGAGAGAGAGAGAGAGAGAGAGAGAGAGAAAGAGAATTGCTAGAGTATGTGAAAGAGGATGGGTTAGTATTCAAGACAAGAAGGTAGAAGCACTAACCCTGCATCTAGGTCAATCATTCTTGAATATTTTGGTCATAGGACACTTTTGAAATCTTAAAAATTATTGAGGACCCTAAAGAATTGTTGTGTATCTTTATTTATATTTAGCATGCAAACTATATCTGAAAAATTTAAATATTAATTTTTAAAAGAAGAATAAACTCATTTCATGTTAACAAAAAATATAATTTCTGTGGGGAAACAAAATCCTCCATTTTCTCAATCAAAAGCCTTCAGTGAAAAAAATGGCATTGTTTTATACTTTTGCAAATCTCTTTAATTACTGGTTTTACTAATAGAAGTGAGCTGAGTTTTTATCTGCTTTTTTATTTAGACTTCTATGATATCATTCCTTGTGAATCTTTGGAAAACTCCATTGTGCACTTGTGAGAAAACCTGAGTAAAATGATAAATAATGACCGAATTATTATGAGGATAGTTTTGGCCTTGTTAACCCCCAATAGCATCCTGGGAACCTTCAGGGWTCCTGGGATTATTCTTTGAAACACTGTTCTTTGGCAGTAGGCAGGAAGGCAAGGCACCTGGGTACAGATGCTGGTAAGTGCTTAGATATGCTTGGGACCCCTCCTGATTGTGCCAGTGAGGTAGTCAGTAGGAAGAATGAGAAGTTGTGAAATGCTTTATTTCTTGAATATATAGATGAAGTTAAAAATGAATATAAAAATAAAGTGAAAAAGACATAACATTATTTAATCTCCTAATAAAAAAGAGAGAAAAATGCAAATTGTAATTCACAGATACCATCAACTGAAAAATGGATCCTAATTCCAGAGATGTTAAAATATTTGTCTCAGGCCTGAAGAAACAGGGCAGCTGTCTAGGAAAGTGGGAGGCTTAGTGGGGACTAAATACCACTAAGGGCCCATCCATGGTCATATTTAATTCAAGTACTTCTCAAAAAACTTTGTTCTGTAATTTCCCTATGTCTGTGCAAATACCAGCAGACAATAGAAAGCTACTTGCTTCAGCAAATTACCTTTCAGAAAAATCACATTTTTTATTTTGTATTGAGAAAAAAAAATACCACTGGGGGGTCAATAAAAATAAAGAAAAATTCAAGTTCTTGGTTAAGAAATCTATTGCTAACCTTGTTTTGATCCTCACTTCTCCTCTCTTTTGATGGGTCAGAGATAAGTGAGAGGAAATTCTTCAAGATATGAATCCAAGTATCATACCTTCTTTGATTTCTAACCGTTTCATCTTTGGCTTATACCTCTCCCATCTTATCATGAATCTCACAGTAAGGAAATACAAATCCTTTATTTGACTAGAGTAATGTAAAGGTATTTGTCAGGCCTGAGTGAAAATTTTTATGTCACATGATAGTTATAGGAGAAGAAAATTTAGAGTCAGCTATTTGTTTCTCTGAACCAGAAAATTAGAATGGTAGCTGAGTATTGGACTGCATTTTGAAGTTCTGAAATTCTTTTGGGGTCTTGATTTCTCATTGCAATTTTTTAACTCAGATTTAAGGATAACAAATGCCCATGCTCATAAACCCATGCTCTRCGCAAAACCTGCATGTTTGACTAGCGTAACACACAAGTCCAGAGAGATTATTCTTGTTCTATCTTTGTGTCATTTATGACCTTCAACTTCAAGAGGACCTCCTCTCCTTTCTTTTTCTCTTCTTTTTCTCTCCTGACACTTTTCCCAAGGAGAAATTTCCAAATATTCTCATTTGTTTTTCCATTTTCTTTAAGCCCCAAGCTCTTCTGTATTTTCTTTGCAGTTAGCTTCAAATATGAGATCAAAGTGATCCAGTATTTCCACTCTTTCCTTTAGAATGTTTCTATATTATTACTCATTGTTTCTTTACCTTCTTTTGRCAGAGTAAGTAGCTCCTATTTCTCCAAACTTAATTCTTCTATTTGTGTCTGAACCCACATTCTGACTTTTCCAAAATCAAAGCGCTCCTCGTTAATTGCTTTCTTGAAGRTCATTTCTGTTTTCCAGATATAATGGTGTCATCTCATTAATTCAACATATTCTTGAACTTATACCATATGTCTGACCTTGTAATAAATATATGAGAGAATGGGGAGCTTGGAATCTAGAGCAGGAGCMGGCAAATATCTACTTGTAAAGGCACAAATGGGAGATGATTTAGGTTTTGTGGGCCATACCATCTCTGAAACTACCTAACTCTGCCCTTGCAGTGTGAAAGCAGCTATTTGTAAATGAATAGGAGTTCCTGTGTTCCAATAAAACTTTATGCCTAAAAAAAATGCAGGCAGCAGGCTGGATTGGCCTCTGTGCCAGTTTCCTGATCCTCTACTCCAATATTTGGTCTTCTTGACTTATGTGTGTTAACCACCCACTTTTGACACCCGCTTTTTTAAGTTCTGGAAAGCTAATTATTCCWACCTCTCTTAAAGCCTATTTTATGTATCTTTTTCCTACTTACTTCTAGTAGGCTGGTATTTCTCCAGGTCCAGTTTTTGGTCCTCTTGTTTGCCTTCTTTAAACTCCCTTAACATCACACAGTGTGTGAGTTGCTCTCCATGCTAACCATTCTCCAGAAGGAATTCCTACATTTCTGCCTGCTGTAGGTTCTAGGTATTTTGTCCATCTGAATCATTGGCACCTCACACTTTGTACAACAAAAAAGTCATTGTCATTTTCATCTTTCCAGCCCACCTGCTTTTGGCCCTGTTCTTTCTCTCTGCCTATCTGTCCCATGGAGTTGAGATAGCAGTGAATTGTGACGACACATAAAACACCAACATAATGATGAGAACACATGAGGCAGTCAGTAAATGCTAATTCCCCTCTTAATGCAATCAATATCTTGATTTGAAACCTTGGAGATAACCTTGACCTCTTCTATTTTGCAGCACATCCAATACACTGTGTTCTTTTGTTTTATTCTACAATCTCTTGCCTCTGACTTCTTTTCCTTCTTAACACCATTTCCTAATTTAAAGCTCTCTATCAGTTAGAAGTTACATTTGCTGCACATGGTAACTGCAACAGTAACAACACAGCAAACTTACATCAGCTTAACCCAGTGGAATTTGATACTTCTCATGGAACATTATGTCTGGAGGTAAATAGACTCAGGCTGGCGTGGTTTATAATGCCATCAGAGAACTGATGTCTCTCTCTTTTCTCAGCTTTCACAAGTACCATTTGTCATCATGCTTTTCACTCTGTGGCCACAAAGTCATGTTCCATCTCTAACTTTACATCTATATTCCAGGCCAGAAGAAAGGAAAGGGCAAATGGTAAAAGGCCAAAGAACTAGAGCCAGGTGCTGTGAYTCACACCTCTAATTCCAGCAGCTCAGGAGGCTGAGGCAGGAGGTTCACAAAGTGAAAATCCGGTCTTAGCAACTTAGTGAAACAACTTAGTGAGACCATGTCTCAAAATAAAAAATAAAATAGGTTGAGGATATGGTTCAGTGCTTAGGTGCCCCTGGATTCAATCCTTGGTACCCCCCCCCAAAAAAAAAAAAGAAAAGAAAAAAGGAACTCGGTTAAGCACTACCATTTGTTGTGTCACTGCTGTGTCAGGCAGTATGTGATTTATATGTTATATTTAATCCTGATAAGAGTGTTTGTGAGATGGTTTCCTTTAACTGCCGCCCCTCCCCCACCTATTACAGATGAAAGCACTGAGTTGCAGAGCAGTTAAGGAACTGGATGAAGATTCTGCAGCCTTAAAATGGCCAAGTTGAGATTTTGAACCAGGTGCTCTGAGTCCAGAGCCCAAGTTTTGTACTACAATCTTTTTGCTTTTCCAGAGAAAAGCACTAATAAATCAGGCATGTTTTCACTTAGTAAAACTCTTGGCCATAACCGAAGCTCCCTGGGCCAGTGATTGCCTGTTCTGGGATGGGTTTACCTTTACTGGGGCAAAGGGGAGGTATGGGTTACAGATCAAGAGCTAAGGTCACGCCAGGAGGTCTACACTGAGTCTTTGCAATAGAAATGGCCACTTAAAGCTCTGACACATTATTAGAACTGCCTTCCACCAAAAAGAAATACTGTAGGAAAGGGAGAATAGGATTTCAGACTATTTACTTAAGAAAATACATTAGTTCCACTCAGTTCCTGCTAAGTAGAGGACTTGCCAGGGTGCTTGTAGCAGAATATTCTAAGAGCAGACTGAAAAATCATTAACATTCATCTTACCATCTTACCCATGGGATCACTCTATAGAACACACATTCACTTTTATGGAAAGTAAAGGTAGAGCATCGGAGGGCTTGGAACAATTTTTATCCCACGTATTGGGTTCTCCAGCCACCTCTCAGTAGGCAGTTCCTGCTAAGCATAACTATCAGGCTCCTGAGTTCCATTTAAAAAATWTATTTATTTATTTATTTGTTTGTTTGTTTTAGGTGGACACAATATCTTTATTTTCCWTTTTGACCCATGGGAGCAACAACTTGGCCTACGAATTGCTGCTCCCTTATAGAATGGGCCCTGGCTTGTGCCCTCATAATAAATTAGGGGCTCTAAATTTAACTATGTCTGCCTTAAACAATACCACTCCTTGCCATCTATCTCTGCATATATTCCATCTTGCTCAAAGGTTGCTTATGCCTGGGCATTTTCCCTGATGTATGAAAGGAAATGGGCATCTGGCTTCTTCAGGGAAGGAAGAAGTATTGTCTTTGTTACTCGTCATTTTTCCCAAAGTGAGTGGATGATGATCACATTTTGACTTAATATGCCCCATGGCTCTAATTCCTGAAACTATGTGCAGAAAGAGGTTTGAATAGTTTGTGACACTAAAATAGTTCCTTGACAATCATTTATAATTTAGTATACATCACTGGAATTACATCCATTAGTTAAACATAGTCTGCTTTTATAATACATAATGCCAGTCATTTAGTTACTGGTGATTTTTATGATGATTTTTATTGTTTTGCCATACTGTAAAAATAACATGTTCACATTTTTTAAATTAAGGGAGTAAAAATTTTTTTTATTGGTTGTTCAAAACATTACAAAGCTCTTGACATATCATATTTCATACATTAGATTCAAGTGGGTTATGAACTCCCATTTTTACCCCATATACAGATTGCAGTATCACATCGGTTACACATCCACATTTTTACATAATGCCCTATTAGTAACTGTTGTATTCTGCTACCTTTCCTATCCTCTACTATCCCCCCTCCCCTCCCCTCCCATCTTCTCTCTCTACCCCATCTACTGTAATTCATTTCTCTCCCTTGTTTTGTTTTTTTTCCTTTCCCCTCACATCCTCTTATATGTAATTTTGTATAACAATGAGGGTCTCCTTCCATTTCCATGCAAATGCAAATAAATATAAGCAAAAATATGTTGAAAATCTCATATCCCAGAGATGACTTCTAATATTTTGTTTTTTAATATGCATATGAAATGTACTAATTCTATCATACTATTTAACTAACTTTACTTGATAGCCTACCATAAATATTCCTGATATTTTGAAATATTTTATGGAACATTGATAGCTTAATATATTTTGGGTAGACCTTATACTYAAATATTCCATCTACTACTTACTCCATTCCCCATAGGAGACTGTCTTTCATTGTTTTCTTTTTTTAAAATTATCTTCCCAGAGTTTCTTTACATAATATAGGCAAATTTGAATATATATTTTTATTCTCCCATGAGTTTTACACAAAAGCTAGCACTTTGTTTTCATACTCGAATACCTCAATTTTCTAACAATCTTTCACTCTTTCTGCCACATTGTTGATGGCTTCATTATTATTCCATTACTTGATTAAAGTATTTTAACCAATTTCCTATTTTTGGCTATTTAGGCTATCTAAAAACATTCTCATAGATTTATCTTTTCATACAATCCATGATTATTTCCCTAGGATAAATTATTTGGAATTCTTTGCTTGACCATTTGCTCCTTGTTTAAAATGACTCCTGAAAGATTATACCACTTTATATCTCTCCCAGCAACCATCAACAGTAGGTAAAAGGAACTTAATTTAAAAGAGGCTAGTTACAACAGTGAACATTTTGAATATTATATACAAGAAAAAATAAGAATAGAAATTCAGTGGGTTAGTGGTTTTGAAGTCATGGCAKGAGAGGGATTCAGTAAGAGGTAGTCAGGCATCCTTGAAAGAACATGTTGGAATGGAGTGAGACGTGAGTTCTGGTCTTGCCTCTGATGTGAATCTGGGATAGGTCTTTAAGTCTGTTTTCCAATCACTGAAAAAGGGAAGAATGCTTACTGGGTTTATCTGGGTTCATTTTGTTCTAAAAGAATTTATGAATATGTGGGAAACTTTTCTAGCTCTAAAATTCCTCAGTTTTGTAGCTGTTGCTTCTTGTTCAAAGGAAATAAAAATTGAGCTTCTACTTATGGAGCTGTGTTTTGAAGGGACAGGCCTTCCTCTTCCTAATGCTCTGTTATTAATTTCTCTTCATTTCAGTAAAGGCTAAGCTTAAACTTCTCACCGCCACATAGGGTAGCCCCTTAACTTCCATAGATGAGCCTTCACAAAATTCAGGGAGAATTGGAGAAAGAAAGTTAAAACTACAAGAGATTTCTGGCTGCATAGTTATATGCATATTTTTTAAAACACTCAGACATTTATTTTTAGATAGGTAATGTTAATCTGCAAAGCAGGAAGAGACAATCATGTGGTTCCTGTAAATACCAAATTTGGGATGGCGGTGGTATTAGCTTTGGCTCTTTGTGGTGCAGTGATTTAACATATGGCAAAAAGAGAGGCAATGAAAAACTGCCCCCTGTCAGGCCWTCCCAATGTGGGCATTGGTCATCAGCCAGCTTCCATGGGCAAGTGTTCTACTGGTCAGCTCTTTGTCAAAGCTGTTTGTCATTAGAAGCTTCCCTGACTCCACCAAGTGAGAACTTTGGTCACTAAGATAAGATTGGTCAAGAATAAATACCATGTCCAGTCATGTCCTTCCTTTCTCTACAGCAAGCAAGCTAAAGAGGAGCCAGGCAAGCAGGAACTGGAAGCCTTAATTGACACAGTCCAGAAGCAACTGAAAGATTATTCATGCAAAGATAAYATACATGAAGCATTTCAAGCTCATGACAAGGAAGCATTAGGATATGTGGACAGAGAGATGTTCTTTAAAATCTGTGAATCCTTTAACATCCCAATTGATGACTCCTTGGTTAAGGAGGTTGGTATGAATTCCTTTTGGGGGTTGATTGTAGAGGCTAAGCACCAATCATTCTTTCCTAAAGGCAATTGTATGTGTATTTTGTTTTAAATGAGGGAGATTTAGGATATTCCAATCATAACTACTGTCCTTGATTATGGTATTTTCCCCGATTCTAGCATTGGCATCCTTGTTTAATTTCTGTTGAAGGGCTTCTCAATAAGTGGGCCTGGGACTAGATAGCACAGAGTGTTGATAGACCAATACGTCAGGACTGAAGGAAGGCAGCAGAGATGACCCTGGATGGGGAGCTGCCAAGAGGAGACCCAAAGACTAGTTGATTGAACAGGATGGTGGAAAGCCTTTAATGCCCTTCACGGCCAACGTGTAGCTTAGCCCCTCAGTAGGGCTAGCATGTGGACGCAAACTCTGCCCAARCAGTATGTAAGGGGTATGGTCAGCCACAAATAGACAAAAGGCAAGGAAGTTCTTCTCCTAGAATTTTCATAAATCAATTAAGTTTCATGCTGTTCCTTCATTACTAATTCCTTTAGTCAGGGTTCCCCTGAAAGTCAGAACAAAATCCATCCCCCTAACACATTTGCCAAGGACTCTGGCTTACTATCTTCAAAATATTCACACTAAGAACATTGAAATTCTATAGCCCTTCTTGAAGATATTTAAGCAAAAACCAAGTTCAGAATTAAAGATTCATTTAGGAAAGGATTTTGTTTAGGCTAAAGTGACTAGGTTATAGATGAGTAGTTTTTATGAACAGGAATATTAGCAAGGAGTAGAGGYGGGCAGAAAGAAGGGTATTTGTTCATGTGGGCCAAACATCCAGTTAACTCCCCATACCTTATATTGACAGCATGCCTACTTTGATTTTTAGTAATTTATACCATATGACATGGAAACTGACTTGGGAGAGAGGAATGGCTGTCATTGGGAAGTGAGACAGGGAAGGGAAAGGTGGRGTAGATTTGCACATGTCTTACAAAGACAACCACAGGAAATCATTCTGTTATCAGTCACAGCTGAGTTTCAGGGGACACAGTATAAACAGTAATAGAACTAGATTCTTTTATTAGGTTGCAGTATTAGGAACCTACTATATAAGAGTCTTATTTCCTGGTAGACAAAGGCTTCTACTTGAAACAATTTGCTTTGAAAATGACAGCACCCTTATAAATATGGGTGTTCATCTTGAAATCTTGGGCAGGTAATTTATACCATCCAACTTTGGTTTCATTAAGTTGAAGATGATGGCAATGTCTGACCTACCTACAAGGTTCATAGGATCATTTATGAATCAACTGAGGATATAAAAACTGAACTTTGGGTTTACAAAGGTGGGGGATAAGTGTGCTCTGCAGTTAAGTTGGAAGCCCACCTGTCTCATTTGTTCTCTTTGCTCTCTTCTGCAGTTAATCAGGATGTGCTCTCATGGAGAAGACAGAATTGACTATTATAACTTTGTTCGTGCTTTCTCAAACTGATATGGCTGATGAGATAATACAATATAATTTTTTTATGTTGGATCCACAATTGGAAATATATCTTGTAGAGCTYCTGAAGTTATATTTCTTTTTTGGTTATATTTCACTTCTCCAAAAATCTCAATTAAATTGGTTTTTATAGGATTAGTGCCTTATTTTGGGTGGTTGGGGTATTGTTATAGTTAATTTTATGTGTCAATTGACTGGGACACAGACTACCCAGATATTTCATCAAACATTATTCTGTTTTTGATTCAGAATACATCTGAATTGGTAAGCAAAGCAGATTGCCTTCCCCAAAGTGGTTGGGCCCAACTAGTCATCTGAAGGCCTGGACAAAACAAAATGGCTGACCCTCCCCTGAGTACTAGCAAATTCCTCCTGCCTGACTGCCTTCAAACTCAATCTGAAACAACAGTCCTTCACCTTCAGGCCTCAGAAAGGAGCTACACCATCAGATGTCCTGAGTCTCAGGCATTTGGACTCAAATTGGAACTATACCCTCAGCTCTCGCTCAGCTCTAGCTTGCCAACTCACCTTCAGCTTAAGGRGCTTAGGCTCCAAAATGTGAATCATTTCTCATGGTAGTAATCATTTATACTACTACTCATTTCTTTCTTTGTATATGTCTATACCCATACATACACATTCTGTTGGTTCTGTTTCTGGAAAACTGTAACATATAGCATGATTAAGGCAGGATGAATGAGAATTTTCTAGAAACATTTGGRATATTGAAAATTAGCGTATAGCATCGCTGTTGCTGCCAGCCAGTGGCCCCCACCACTACCTACCTGCCTGTCCCGATATTGTAGAGAAACATAGTATGTGTTTTTAAAACTCTGGTTCAAGGCCCATTAGTCGACCTGCATTTTTAAAAAATGGAATATAAAAGATCGGTGTGGAACAAATGTAGAGTATGTATTTTCATGAAACTTGTTTCCTGAGTGTATTTGATGGGTTATGAAGTAAAATGTTTTTCTTGCTGTTTAAAAAAGTAGAAAACCTGCTCTTTTAGAGAGTCTGGCATTAAGATAGTGCGGGAAGACTGGTAGCAGTTGTTGGCTCTCTAATGAGTTCTAAATGACTTTCTAGCCAGTGCTGCTCTTTAATCGAAGTCATTTACCAACTTCATCTTTTCAAATGCCATCTCAAATTCTTCCGTGCCATCCAAAATATGGCACGAATGAGGATGGAGTTACACAGGACCAAGGATGCCTGGGCCTCCTCAGAATTGCTGGGAAGCTGCCCTTGATCTTTCCTTCCCTAATGAGCTGTTACCTTTAACCAGTTTAAAGGCTGTAGATGCATTGTTGATGCCTCCTTTTGTTCCAGGTTATTATCTCAGGAAGAACTCATATTTTGTTTCCTTCAGTCATTCATAGCTATTTTAAAATTCTCAAATATTTAAAAAGTCCACTTCAATCTTTAAAAATACTAAATTCTATCCTGTTTTCCCAGCTCAGTCTTGCCTCAGGCCTGGAAGCCATTAGTACAGTGTATGTGTTGGGACAGGCAAAGTCCTTTCTCTGGCTTTTGTTCCCTCTGTCTCTATTCAGGCCAGCTGCTGTTTGGGACCAAGTAGGATCTAGGAAGGGTTAGAGGGCAGAACCAGAGGAAAAGGGAAACTTCTCATTTCTGTCAGGTAATATCATCATAATCTGGGGTGAAGGCTGAGTACCGTGTGTCCAATACCGTGTGTATTCTTAGGTCACCTTCACACAGGGAACCTCCTTGTGCAGGATTCTCAGATGCAAATTGTCTAGTAGCCAACTGACTGCCCTGCTATAACAGTCTGCTGMCCAGGTTCTTCATCTGTCAGAATGGGGCCCTTTCAGCCCTGCCAGGGTGTGCGCACTCATGCTGAAAGATTCTCTTGGTTCTGCAGTTAGGTAGCTATCCTTGAGACTTGTTTTAGATGAGAATCAGGCACCCCAAACCTTGTGCTCTCCAAACTCCAAGAGACACGTCAAATCACATCTGTTAAAGTCATCCCCACCCCATCTACCCCTTACTTAGCTTGCAGACCTGCTATATCCTGATGCCCTTTTCAGAAGTCTGCAGTCTCCAATCCATTCTCCATCATCTCTGCCTCCTGAGGAAGACAGAAACTCACAAAAGCTTTGGGTACCTCCAATGCAAATCTTTCATGGATCAGCTCAATTGGCAGCATGTGGAAATACTTACCAATTTTTGTCCTCGGCATCGGGCCTTAGCTGAAATGGAGATTTAGGAACATCCTCTTACCTGCCCTTTGAAATCCAAGTGTTTATAGACTTTCTCTTTATTTCTCTTTATCTTTTCCACCAGATACAAGAAACATCTTTCTATTCAATTACTGAGTACTAGGATTAAACTTTCAGCCCCACTACAATTAATAGAAGCATCTCAGCTAGGTTGAATAAGGTTCATATATTCCTCAAGTTTGCTTTCTACTTCTCACCTGGCCTCCCTTCCCAAGCTCACCCAAGATTGAGAAGCTAAGATCTGACAGCACCATCACAAGGTATGAGCACTATCTCATGAAAGACCCTAGCCAGCAGGGCATTTCTTTGGTGTCCTCACACTGTTCACCCGTTAAGTTTCCACAAGGCAGCAACTGTAGGAATCACCAAAATCAGAGCAAATCACTTTTTTACTAAAATCCTGAATGGCAGTGCAGCCATTAGATGTCACTAATTACCACATGCCACAGTTACAGCTGGGCTCAGGTGAAGGAAGACAGCAGAGTTAGCTACAGCAAGCAATATTGTAGGAAGAAATGGCCATCATTTCCAATTGGCCACCAAGGAGTTTAATCAGAAATAGAGAATTTCCATTACCAAGTAGCACTGGCATTGGAGGCACACTGGAAGCCACAGCTATCAGCTTTAACTGAAGGATATGTCTAAGACTCATGAGGGTGATTTGTGGATTCAGGGCTAATCATATCTTGTGGAGGAAGATAGTCTGTGAGGTAGCCACTACTGACTATCCTGAGCCGGCACCCTGTCTGTACCACTCGGGGGCCTTGAAAATGCCACCTAATAATTAGGTGTACTAAACCCATGTCTTTGAGGGTGTTTGGGACCAACAAGTAGAGAAGACTTCTCTAAATGTTTCCAGAGAATCGAGATTCACTCAGGTAAGTGACTCCTGAATATCTCGCTGGCACCCAAGTATGAACAGGTTCACTTTAAAAAAATGTTTGACAGCTTTACTTATTCACTATCACCATTTCCTATAAAACAAAAACAAAACCCCTAGCTAGGTCACCTATCTTCTCTCATGAGGGAGGTTAAGTGCTGGAGTCACCTGGTTTCTCACACACAGCAGGACTCCAACTCAACCCTGCCAAAGCTCCCCCTCCCCGATTAGGTCCACTCACCTTCACCTCAAGCAGATGCTCTCTGGTAATTCTCACCCTGTGGGTGTCTATGACTAACTGTACCTGTCACTGAACTCATCTCCTGAGCTTCAGCTACAGGAAACAGCAGGCCATATAAGTGACATCAAAAATCCTAAGTGCCCACCATTACTACTAATACTGGGATGACTTCTAGTCAGCACCAACATACTTGGTGGCACTGAAGCATATGTCCTCTAAGTCAAATGACGTCATATGATAGCAGGCATTAAGCATAGAGAGCTTCCTTCTGGAGCCGCCTGCTCACGAACCCYATGCTAAGAAAATCCCCTTTTCTACTTTACTTGTTATAGATTGAATTAAAATGATACATATTACCATCTAGTACTTTTTATAACTGATTCTCCATCCTTCATTCCAATTCCCTGATTCATATCACCACAGTGAACAAATATATTTCAAGAAACACAAGAAATGACTATGGAGTGAAAAGTTTTAGACATGAGGGCTAAAACTGATGTAAAGTCACTTGTCAAGTAAACATAAGTATCCAGATTAAAAAGCACTCCTACATAGAGGCATGTCAAGTTATTTCAGAGACGATTAAGACTGATAATTCTATGCCTTTTATTCAGTTATTACAGAAAATATTTGATCATTTGTTTCAAAATGTACATTAAAAAATCCATACAAAACTGTAATTTGTTTTAAAACCAGACAGAAACAGTGGAAAAAGGATTTTGAAAAAAGTTCACCAAAAGTAAAATAGACATCCCTCCCCCCAACCCTTTTACATGAAAGCATAAATACGGCAGGTACAAATTTTCCTTGAGTTCCTTGTGGAAATTTGGTCCATAACATGAACAGGCTAAAGTAGAAAAACAAAGACAACTTGTCCACATTTGCATTATGAGTTGCTCAGGGCACCAGCAGCCTCAGTTCATCCTTCAGATGTTTATTTCAGAGGAACTGAAAAGTGAGGTTTGTAGTCTCAACACATAAACACTCGAATCTGCACCCAACAGGACGGTGGTACTCACTCCCACAGCCAGACCTGCTCAGACCTCAGGGCTCTCYACCCAGGGCTGATTCTCCATCCTCTCCATGTGCACAAGAAACTCTGAAACATTTTTACAGAGTGATGGTGACACCACGGGCCTCACACAGATTGTATTCCCAGACGCTGACTTAGGTCCCATCCTGAGGATGTTTTTTTCTCCTTTTCAACAGATTTTTTTATTTTTAAATATAAAGACTTCTAAGATGATACCACACGTTCTACAAGAGGGCCACAGAAACCCACCCAGGATCATGAGTGACAGCAACATGGGGAAATGGCTGACATTTCTTCTGTAAGGGATGATGACTATCCCTCCCAAAGGTCCCTCCTCCCCACCTATTGCAGGGCAATGTAAGGGACAGAAAGGCCTGTGGAAAAGACCACGGGCTGGGAGGGTTATTGCACAACCCGGAAGGGTGGGAACAGGCACGCAGGCAGGTGAGGGGCAGGGAGGAGGTTGTGGCTACTAACACAAGGTCACCCCAATCAGGAGCTRTAGCGGTTCTGCAAGTGCTGGACTAAACTCTCTGCCAAACAGGTAAGGAGTTAGGTCTCTGGACCAGGAAGTACAAGTAAACACCTTCCACAAACTTTGGGAAGTGAAATAGATCAGAAGAGGTTACAGCAAGGGTGCCTTTGTTTCTAATATGGGGTGAGA